GGCACAAGGTGTTGGTAAGTGTTTGAAGGTTTGTTTGTGGAGGAATGGATGTGAAGATGAATGGATGTGTTTGGATGAAGGTTGTATTGAATGCGGCAAAGAGTCGAGAATTGTGTAGATGATGTGTGTGTGTTTTGGATGGATTTTTTCTCCCTTGTTATGGTGAAGGGTGGATGTATTTATAGGCTAGGGAGAGGACCACTATCTAATTAAGGTGGTAGTGGTGTATGTTGTGGTAATGAGTGGATGTAATGGGTGTAGTGGGTGAGTGTTGTGGTAATGAGTGGATGTAATGGGTGTAGTGGATGGATGTTTGTAGTTGTAGGTCAACACACTTGCACACATACATGCTGATTTCTAGCCTTCAAATCTTCAAAAACGTCCATCCTCATGTCTCCATGCTTGCACTATCCAATCTTGGCCCAAAAATGCTCCAAAATGCTCCAAATAGCACTTTGTTGCTAACTTTGTTATTTGAACCTACAAACACATGAAAATAGCTTAAAGTACTAAAATAACTAGAATTAAACTAAGTAAATGCCAAGAAACAAGTTAACTAAGTTGCATAAATATGCTCCTATCAATATGCAAGTGTATAGTTCAAACCTTTTTCAGTGAAGAAGGCTAGTGCTTTGACAAGTTAAATCCCAATAGTAATCCCAGATCAACATTGTACTCTTAACTCTAAATTATGAGCATGTGTGGTAGCATTTACAAATTTTGACAATGGAAGCCAAACAATAAACTTAGTACTTAACAATCTCCCTATTTGGCATTCCTTGACAAAATAACCCCAAACTTATAACTAAATTCACACTTCACCACACCCAAGAAATCATACAGTGACAAGAGAAGAGCAAGTAACAACTCCTGCAGCAAACATATATTTCTCGACAAGAGACAAGTGAAATTCATCATGGGTTATTATAACATAAGCTCATCTTAAAAATGACACCACAAATTGCATGAACAACACGGGTTATTCTAGTACCACATTTAAAACACTTAAATTTTTTTTGTCATGGTAAGACAAGGGAAGAACAATGAAGGGATAAACAATGAAGCATAACAAGAACAAAGAAGGGTCAATGCATCTAGGAAAACCAAAACAGCCCACTATGGTGTAAATTTTTGGAACAAAAAAGATAAACATCCAACAATTTAAGCTCAAGGGTCACGAGATTCAAGATAAAACCAAACTAAGAGTAGCAAGATTAATTACAACAAAATCCAAAAGGAAATGGAGTTTCAACTTTAACAACCATTGTTTAAGATTTAACAAAATGGAACTCTCCTATAACATTTGCTCTCAAATGAACTAAAAATCCCTACAAGAATTCCCTCATAATCCTAAAACTCCTTGGATTGTGACAAGTCATTTGAGTCGACAGGAGCAACAATGACATCTTCAACAGGGGCATCTCTAGGGCATGTACCACTACCAAAATCTTCTGCATCTTCATCTTCATCAGATGAATAAGTAAATCTGATGTGTTTTCCCTTTGAGGTAGGAGTGGAAGAGACATGTTGATGAACATTGATTGATGGTCACACCATTTCCTTTAGTAGCATAGATTGCTTAGCAGCAATGGCACTTGAATGGCCGGAGGATGCAGCTGTATGATAAGACACATAAGACAGATCCACGAGATGTTGAGGGACAAGTTTTATAAGATGCAGAGACGGCTCGGGGACAAACGATGGAGGATTCATAGAGGTTTGACTTAGAGATGGTGTAAAGAACGAGTAACTGACAAGTGGGGAAGACATTGATTAACTGACCAAGGACTTAAAATCAACAAATTGTTTTCTAAGGGAGTTGATTTCGGACTCAAGATAAGCTATTTTCAATCCTGGGAAGCATTTGGTGGAGGGACTGGTCTAGGATCATGTAACACCTCACCCCGAAATATTTATTTTCGAGAAATAATTCCGATGATAGGCCCAATTCAAACTCTTGTTTATTTTACTACCATTAAACCCTATTCTTTATTTAAATTTCTTAATTACTCACAAAATCTACAACCAAAATTTAATTACCAAAAACATAAGACTTAATTTCATCTTATTCATCGAATTTCTTTTCTTAAATCAACTTGCCAACAAAATATAATTCTCGATTATTTAAGGTTGCATCTAACCCTTGTTAGACTGCCTACGTACCCTTGAGCGGGATCAAACCTTTCGTAGTTAACCATTCATCATTTTATCCATTTTCGAAAATAATCTAATAATGGCAATAATCAACATTAGATTTCAAAATCGAATCACACCAAATGGGTACCAATTACGGATTTAAAATATCAAAATCTGCAAGAAAAGACAGCATCGGCCCATTGGCCATGCGCTGCCACATGCGCTGCTGTGGGTGGCGGTTTCCAGTGAACAGAAACCCAGTTTTCCGACGAACTCCAAAAATTATCAAATTTTACAGGCAAGTAGATTTCAATGAGATGAACAACTTTCATACCTAGGCCGAAGTCCAATTCGGCTGGGAAACACCTGAAAACCACCTCGATCCGCCGAAAACCCTTGAAATGGTTGTTCTTGATTCGACTCCAAACAAGCTCCGACGCCTCAATCACTGCTTGGGCTTTGTTCTTGGGGTTGAGGGGAGCCTATTAGTAGTGGTGGTTGGCATATTTACCTTCGGATTTGATGGATTGTCGCCACGAACCCCATCGTACCCACCGTATGGGTTTCACCATTTCAAGGCCAAACTCCTTCAATTTTTGGGGTGGAATGGGTAGAGAGAAGGTCATGGAGTGTTTTCCAGGTGTTAATTTGACATGGTTCGCCGGAAAACCCGATGGAAAATCGTCGAATGGGGTGAAGAAAATCGGGTCGGGTCGTAGGAGAAACCGAGTCAGAAGTGATCCGATACTCCCCCTTTTCTCCCTTCCCCTCCTTTCTTTCCTTTCCCATTCGTCCTTTTCCTCTCTCTCCCTTTCCCTCATTGGCCTATCCGTTTCCTCCCCTCTTTTTTTTTCTCTCCTCTCATTTTTATCTCAGCCGTCTACCTCTCTCCCTTCTCTTATTTTCCTTTCATCCCAGCCACACACGTGGCACGTCTTATTGCTCCAGAAAATCTGGAGCCTTCCAGATTATGGTTAAATGACCATTTCACCCTCAATTTTGTTCGTTTATATCTTCTTCGTTATAACTCTGTTTCACAAACGGTTTACGCCTGGACGCTCATGAGATCGAGCTCTATCCAAATATGCCAAGAAATGCAATAAATTATATGAGGGGTAAAATACGTCCTTGTATAGTTACGTTAAACCAACTAGGGCATTTTCATCCTTTCACCAAACGATAATTTTTTCGACGTAAATTATAATAATTTCCGGTAACAAAATTTTAAAAGTTCTCAATTCAATTTTTCATAACCATAAATCGATTTATTTTCGATTTTCCCCACATATTCATATATTTAAATTTTCAAGGTATTATAGATCACCCTGAGCAACAACACACATTACATTGCCCAGGTTCATCATATTTCTGTCAAGATCCATAGTGGTTCTAGGATACAAATCATTCAAATTTTGAACACTAGCACGCTCACATAACTGAGTGATTAGAGAAGGATGAATAGTAGTGCCCCTCTGTTGAGTTCCAGAACGTTTAGACTTAGACAAAATCGACTTGAAAATCAGAAAACCAAAAGGCCCATCACAGCAAGTATACATAGCAAACAACACTCTGGCTCACTCAAGGGTAGGGTTGCCATTGTTTTACCTTAGTCTGATCAGTGAATTAAAACAAGAATGTGACAAATGATTCCTCATAGGCTTAGTACCCAGTGTCGGAGTAAAGTGGTACTCCAATTATAAAGTGGTACTCTTTATAAATACTAATTTTGGGAAGTGATATTTCTCGGAATCAATGTTATCTAGGGGGCTTCGAGCTCTGTCTTGGGCCTACAAACTTACCCGTGTTTCGCTTCAATACTCCATACTTCAAAATTAGCTTACTTTAGAAAGATTGGAAGATTATACTATGTTTTCACAATGTGGAAGCAAGTGATGAGAAATTTGAAGCATTCTACTATATCAGGCTTAAATATCTAAGTAGGACTACCTAATCAAATACGATCATCATGCAAAAGATCAATTCATTCAAAGAAAAGGTGCGAGAACCCAAGTCCGTGACTTGGGCACATTTTCGAATTATAGAAGAAACAGTCCCCTTCCTGGCCAATTAAATCGTCTTAGAATTAAATCTAAAACTACATCTCAGAACTAGTCATGACATCGACGCCATTACCTTATCTGCAGCAGATAGAACTCCACTGGGAGCCTTGGATCGGCAGGAGTGGCTTCTTCTGGTGTTGCCTCAAAGTCAGAACCTAACTTAACTTCTTCAGACACCTCCAGCTCCGCGACCTCCCCTATATATATGTATCAAACTCAAGCAGTTTGATTCCTATATAAGTATCTCACTCACTCAAACTATTATGAAGGCTTACAAGTGGAGAGAAATATTTAGACAGTACTACTAGCGACATATTCTTTAGGAGAAAAGCTTGACTCCTTTAAGATTGAGGAGTTCCTCATTAATTTACTTCGTGTTCTATTCAACAAACTTCTTATTTATAATCAAAACTGTTTATGTTATAAGTCATTTTATAAATATATTTTCTACGAAAAAACATATCAATTAAAATCAAGACCTTTTATTTAATTGAGTTACATGTTATTTATGAATCACATGACACATACAAATCCTGATAGTATTAAACTTCAAATTCAATGTCTAAAATAAAAGAGCACCTCAATTTTAAGTCAGTTAGAAGATGACAAACTGACGGTTGATGATGAATACTTTTACCACTGAAAGACCAGACTGCCTTGGCTTAATCATAATTTAAGCACTTTGAAAAAATATCTTCATTTTCATTCATCACGATTCACGAGACAAGTCATTTTCCTACAAGACGTGCCAAACTTCGTAACACTTATTAATTGGCGACCTAATAAGTGACCCAATCGTCCTCCATCGGCATCTCCGCATCTCCCCAATCGAATCTCTCCCCTCAATTCCCAAATCTCTATTTTAATAACCCACGTCCACGTTCCCCTCGTGGGTTCTTCTCATAATCCAATTATTTTTTTTGGCACTTTCTCACAAGGACAACTCTCTTTTCTCTGATTATCACCGCTTCGTTGTTTACACAAATATATATAAAAAGGACGAACTCTGAAAGCCCCATCTGGGACGGAAGAGGGATCTCCTTCTGGGGGCTGCTTTGATTGTCCTCAGCCGTTCAATTTTTACGTATGTTTTCTCATCTGGGTTTTGCTTGAAATGCTTTGATTTCGCACCATTACTTACTAATTGTGATTAGATTGTTAATATTGTATTTTGCATTCCTTTAATTTAGCTTTGGTTTCCAAGAAAATGTAGCCAAAGAAAATGGACAGTGAGATTAGGACTAATGGGTTTGCGGATTCTCTCTGCAAGTTTTGAAATTTGACTACAAAAGTGAAAAAATTGATGCAAATTTGGATTTTTTTTACTCTGGATTTGATAAAGATCGTTGCTTTAGGATGTGGGTTCACTTTTTGGTATTTTATAATTTTGTCTGGCGACCAAATGGAGAATTTTTCATTTCTGTTAAGTGTGACATTGTATGATTTGGGGTTGAACAGAAAATGGGGAGCGAAGTCGAAAATTTTGAAGATCCAAAACTTGCACCTGAGGCAATGGAGAACAATCGGGCATCTTCTTCAAAGGAAGGCAAAGGAAAGCGGCTGTGGAAGAAGGTGAAGTATCAGCTGGTTGAGTACCACAGTTTGCCGAACTACTTGAGGGACAATGAGTTCATTTTGGGCCATTACCGGTCCGAATGGCCATTGAAGCAGGTCTTGCTTAGTATGTTTACCATCCACAACGAGACGCTAAATGTTTGGACGTAAGCCTCTATCCGTTTACGAGTCGTATTTTTTGAAAATTGTATGTTTGTACATAAATGGAATTATGCGATTCTTTGGTCTTTACCTATATGATTAATAGGTCTGATGGGTGTTTTTTCAAACAGTTTCTATGTTTCCCCTTTTGAAGTTTGCAATATTCAATGCGAAAGTAAAAACTGTTTACCATATTCCTTTTTTCTTCTGAAGTTAACTATAGTGGATTAAACTGTGAATATGACAATTTATTGCTTTCCAGGCATTTGATCGGATTCTTCCTTTTTCTTTCCCTGACCATATACACTGCGATTAAGGTTCCAGAGGTCGTTGATCTTCATGCTCTACAGCATTTTCCTGATGTGCTCAAAAAGGCTGATCTGCACAAATTAAGTGAAGAATTCATGACATGCCTCCCTTCCCTACCCAACATGCCAGATCTAAACAGACTTAGAGAAGAGTTAAAGACATCATTAACTTCAATGGATCTGCTGCCATCACTCTCTGGTTGGCATGTTATGGAACTTCTGAATAATTGTTTGCCGCAACGATTCTCCCATGGCAACCAAACCGATGTCTGTGTTCTGGTAAATGCTCTACCTTTAAAGCCCCAATACCCCATTTATAAGGCTTTGATGTTCTAGCATAATGTGCTTAGAGTTTTATCATTTATTGAGATCATTTTTAGTATAAATGTGGTTTGCAGAACTGTTTCCCCTAATAGTTTGTGTGATTAAATAGTGCTAGTTGCAAAGCGTCCGTAGCCCCTTGATATTAAATTTAACACACACACACCCCAATCCATTATAATCTTATTGTGTGACTAAATAGTGCTAGTTGCAATGCATCCGTAGCCCCTGATATTAAAAATAACACACACACACACACAGAGAAACACACACAATTTTATTGTCTCTTTGGAGCATTAAATTTGTAAAAGGATGAGCAGTTAGAATCCCCAATTCATATAATCCATTGTCAATGTTCATGTAGTTTTGCAGATGCGTCGAGCTAATAGATTACTTTTATTTGTTGTTTGGATTAATGCAGCGTAGCATGAAGGAGGATGTAGCAAACATAATAGCACCACTGATGATTAGACCAATCACAAGATGGCCGTTTTTTGCGTTCTTGGGGGGAGCCATGTTTTGCTTACTGACCAGCAGCGCATGCCATCTTCTCTCTTGCCACTCTGAACGCATGTCATATATCATGCTCAGGATGGACTATGCTGGAATTGCAGCCCTTATATCTACTTCCTTCTACCCTCTCGTCTACTACACCTTCATGTGCGACCCTTTCTTCTGCGCCCTCTACATGGGATTCATAACCCTCTTGGGAATTGCCACAGTCTTGGTTTCCCTCGTCCCAGTCTTTCAAAATCCCGAATACCGAATTGTCCGTGTATCTCTTTTTCTTGGCATGGGCCTGTCCGGGATTTTACCTGTTATGCACAAACTCATCTTGTTTTCTGATCAACCTGAGGCACTCCATACAACTGGATATGAGATTCTGATGGGGCTTCTTTACGGGGTTGGAGCCCTGGTTTATGCGACGAGGATTCCAGAAAGATGGATGCCAGGGAAATTCGACATAGCAGGGCACAGCCACCAGCTGTTTCACGTATTGGTAGTGGCAGGCGCATACACCCATTACCGTGCAGGGCTCGTTTACCTCAAGTGGCGCGACTTAGCGGGTTGCTGAATTAGTGAAATAGGAAGATCGCCTCTAGACTCTTTGTTGTTATGTTATGTGTAGGTGAAGAATGGAGTTTGTGTAGTGCAGATAATGTAATTTCCAATTTGTGACCAGAATCAAGCACAGAAAATCGTGTTTGGTTAGGGAGAAAATGAAAAAAGGAAAAAAAAAATTATTGGAGTATTTAGTTGGACATGTATAGAACTTGTGGTAAATAAAGACTTTGTGTTCATTTCAAAATTCAATAAGATGATGAAGCTGGTTTTCGATCTCTCCTTGCAGTGCGACTGTGCAATACTTGAACAAAAAGTAAAAGATGTAAGAAAGAACTGAGTTTTTTTGCTTTCATTGAGAGTTGAACTCAAGACCTCCCGCTTACTAAACGGGTGCTCTAACCAACTGAGCTATGAAAGCTGCTTGTTGGATATGCCATCAGAATTATACTTGACAACACTTCCGCCTGTGGGTTTACTTTACCCAGACATTTTATCCAATTTTCCTTTTCCAACGCGGTCGCTTTTCCCATTCATCCATACTTTCTGAACTCATTAGCATGGAAATTGTGAGACGAAAATTTGTATATTTAAGTGATATCCCTATTGTGAGAAGTCTTAAATTTGATTATCGCTAAATGTGGATTTGAATTATATTATTGCTACTTTATTGTGATGCTTATTGATGAGTCAATATTTTATGATATATTTTACCCTATTCTCAATATAGTTTGGTAATTATTTTGGTAGAATTTTGATACTTTGTTTTATATTTTCAATGTAGGACATTCGACTTCATGTGGAGCAAAACATGACCAAACAGACGAATTTTGGAGTGATTCAAATTAGAGGATGTTCGTGTGTCTCTTGGTTTGTTCGTGTCAAAATTTGAGATTTTTCTACCAAGCGGTTATTTTCTGGCGATTTAATAAAGGAGCAGTGGGTGTTGTTGAAAAATGATGTTTCTGCGCTTAAACTGCAGTTTTGGAGCCCAAGAGGTTCGTGGCCTTTTGGAGAAGTGTTCAGAATAGTCCAAGCTTTAAATCCAGCTATTTTGGCACAGTTTTGGAGTTATTTGGGTTCAAAACGTGGCTGTGCAGATTTATAGGCGAGTTTACCAAGTTAATTTAGAATTATGTTTCTTATTTTATTTCAATTTATTTAGTTTCCTAATCTTATTCTAAGACCTTTTACTAGGAGGATTTTATTTCGAGTAGTATAAATAAGTCTTTTGGCAAACCTAGGGGGGCTTCTTCGATGTACGCAAGATTGGGAGAAGATTTTGTGCAAAGCTTAGAGATTTCAAGACTTATACTTTCAAGGTTTTTTCATTCTTTTTCTAGTTTAATACAATTATGTTGATTTTAATTATGAATATACGTAACTAATTTTCTTTTGCTAGGGCGATGCCTAAGCCTCAGCATGAATATGTAGTCTCTTTTTCACTTTCTTATGAATTTATGCATGCAAGTTTTGAATTATTAATCATTATGCTTTAAACTATCTATTTGTCTTAATAATTCGTGACCATTAGGATATTTAGACAAGTAATTTGATGTAAGGGCTGTCCAAAAAGTAATTTGATGCAAGGGATGTCCCTAAACTTGACTAAGGCTTCTTGTGTTTAATATGTGTAGCTGCTTAGGATGAAGGACACATCTTAAGGGTTATATGGTTTTTCAAAAGGTTATCGTAAAACTTAATGAGTCTTACATGTTCACATTCGATCTGGACGTCACAGACGAGTTGCATGTTAGATATACGTTCTATGTTGGAGATTCCAAGTAGGATATATTTTAGGAAAACCTAATCGTCAAAGTTGCATGGGTAAATCATAAGTAATTAGTAAATACATGTAGAATTGTTAAGGGAACAGCAGAACCCTAGTGCTTTTCCAAATTTGTTTCTCAAAACATTTTCTCTTTGATTTGTTTCCTTTTTAATTGGTTATTAGTTGCTTTCCCTAAATTACTTTTATTAAAATTCGTTTTTATTACTTTTAAATTCAAAATCAACCTTTTCCAATCTTTACTTTCAGGTAATTAACTAGGATTAGGGTTTTTCATAAATTGTTTTAAATAAAACCTGCGGAAAACGATCTTACTTAAGCCGTTTATACTGCAACTATCTTGTTCTAAGTATTTTGTGTGATTTTAACCTCTTTACCTAGGTACCTAAAAATCCTATCACTTATCCCACTCCCCACTCCCTTAATGTAGAAGATACCGTTTGTTCAAAAATAAATACATAGATTCAAGCAAGAATTAATAAATGAATTTCTAATTATGATTAATGAATTTTTTTTAGGGACACTTTGGATGCGGTCCTTAGCTATCAATATTCTTTGATTGAAACCTTGTTAGTTTTTAGTTTTTGATTGAGGTCCCTGACATTAATGTAATAATGTAAGTTACTATATTTTTAAAATTAAAAAATTAAAAATTGAAAATTTGTAATTGTTTTATATTAATGAGATTTTAAATAAAAACCATAATTTATAGGATTAAAAATAATAAAATATAAATGATACTCTCTATTATATTGTGTGTGTGTGTACATATATGTATGGGTACATTAACCAAAATTAACAAAAAAAGTTATTGTACCAAAACATGGATACATTCTCAAATCAACGAAAAATAATGTACCCATATAAGTTTAAACATGGATTAAAAAATTTGAAAGGGTTTTATATTAAAAAAAGGGTACATTTTACATATAACAAATTTTTTTTGATATATTTGAGAATGGGTACATTTAAGATTAAAAAAATTTAAAAATTATGAAATGGGTACATTTAAGATTAAAAATTTGAGAATCTTTTTATATATATAAAAAAAAACTAATAGGTACAAACTTAATTTAATTTAATTTTTTTTATTATTTTGGAAATGTTTGAATTGAAAATTAATTAGAAGTTTAATAGAGGTGTGAGTATTAAACCCTAAATTAATTACTAATTTTTATATTAAAAAATTATATAATAAACATGTAAATTCATTATCACATTAATGCTAGGGACTTGAATCAAAATTTGAGAACTAATAAGGTCTTAGTCAATGAACAGTAAGAACTAGGGACCGGATACTAATTTTTCCTTTTTTTTAGTGTGTATAAGTAATGAGTTTGGTTAAAGTTTTACTTTAATTTTATTAATTCTTCGATGTTAATTTTAAGGGTCAACTAAATTGTACAAGAAATGTCTCACATGTGTTCCGAACGTCCAAACTTAAATTAGCAGAATTAGTAAATTATTTAAAATCGTGAAAATTCCAACTGAATTAAATTAGTAGAACTTCGTCCAAACTACAATCGTCGCAATCATAACTATACAATCAAAGGAGATGCCAGGGAGCTTAGTCCCCCTCCATACTTAATGTCTCACAATCAAGGTATAAAATATCGATAATATCGGAAATATCGGTAATTCAAAAACACGAAAATTTCGATGAAAATATCGGGATATTATCGATATCGATAATAATTGAATAAAAACCACGAAAATTATAAGAAAAACTTGGAAATTTTTATTGAAACTTTGCAGGATGTTTATTTAGTCAATTATCTATTAGTTTATCACAAAAAATTGGAAGGAAATGCATTGCATGATGGATATAACTGATTTAAGTTGATTATATAGTGAGCTGGCAAACATTTTGAGTGTATAAAATATGTAGTAGAAGTTTAAACACACCATAATCATTTATATATAATGAATTAGTACAATATTTTACACTTTATACATTGCATGGTAAGATACATGAGTGACTTAGTAAGGTCTAAAATATCGATGATATCGGAAATATCAGTAGTCCAAAAACACAAAAATTTCGATGGAAATATCGGGATATTATGGATATTTTAGACCATGCTCACAATGAATCACATATGCATTTTGATGTGAACTAAACAACAAGAAGTTCATCTAAACTGCTAAAGGAGGGAGGTTAACTCCGAAATGTGGTGAGCTTGGCCTCAAAACCCGGTAAGTAGCGTTTCTCAGAAAACAACAAAGATGATAATCCAAATTTTACATTGTCATCTTGTGTTTGGTTGAACCGCAGTAAAGTAGAAGCCATAGTCCAAACTTGATCTTTCTTCTTTCTCCTATCATAGGTCGTTCATTTCTGCTCATAAAATCCCAGACCACAACAAGCACTGCAATTATTACCTGGTCCAACTTGAATTCCCCGAAACTACAATGTATGTCATTTCAAGTAAATGGTCCTTAGACTCCAGGGTGTGCAATCACGTAGTCAGAATTTTTAAATAATGGGTCATAATATCAACAAAAAAATTTCATAAGGCTATTTCGTCGAGCACCTAGTAGACACTTGTCGATTCTTGTTAACATATACCGGAGGTTTATGTCACCATATGTCGACAACTAATATTACTTGCAGAGGCTTGTTGAGAGTGGATGCAAGATACTATGGAGTAATTTTGAAGACTACCAAGGTTTTTAAACTAAAGTATTTCATATAAAAAGAGAGAAAATGAAGACAAATATGATAAATGAAAATAGTAGTAAAAGAGGAGGTTGTAATTTAATTTGTCTTAGTTGTTATAGAGGTCAAATACACTGTACAAACAAATATACATGGGATTTTTTTAAGTTATTGGGATCAAAGACAACCAATAAAGAAATCGGAAGTGCTGCCAAATTAAAAAACTTTGGTCAGTATAAAATCACATGACTATTCTTATGTCATTGTTGAAGAGTGTATTCTGGTGTGACGATTGATCACACACTAAAACATTAGATTTTTGTGTATGTTGTGAATCAGTGTCACAATGGTAATATTAATAATATGCATATTATTAACTTGTAATTTTAAAAACATTATTTCCCTCTAGGTGTCAGTTAGGGCATTTTCTTCAATTGTTAGATGCGGAAAGAGATAAATATACGATGCTTCTTCTTGTAGCTATTATGTTTCTGGTTATCACGTACTTACAATTTTTCAACTAGTAACTTGAATGGCTAACCGCTTAAAACTTGATCCTGCATTTAGCTCGAGGGCTGGCCGAGAACCAGCAGATCTACATATTGGTTTTTCATGTTCAAAGTTTTATCACCTTAGTTAATTAAAAACATTCATTTTATATTTGAGATTTCGAGTTTAATTTTTCATCCCCTCATTATAATTTATAAATATAAAAGAAGAAAAAAAAATTACTTTTTAAAGTAATATTGAATTTGTTACAAAATTCTCTCTTTTGTTGGTTATGTTTGGAGAAAATCGAATTCTAAATCTATGCTTATATTAACTCATTAT